CGACTTTAGCCGCTTTTGCTCTTAGCCCAGAAGTAAATGTTGTTGAACTTTTACCACGAAATACACTTGGGAAAAAACAAAAACTTAAATAATAAAAAACCTATATATATATGTATATACTATATGGAAATTGATTGTTTTCTGCGACTGCAAAACAATAAATGTGTGCTTAGCCCAATGTGTGCGGCTTATCTATGGGGGCGCACCTCTACATGGGCGCTAATCGGACGAGTTCAAAAACCCTACTTGGAACGGCAATCGCTTGCGGTACCTAGGCAAAAACCACTTTCGATAACGATAACCCAATCGAACTGAACTCAACTCGTGAAGCGCACACAGCGTGTTCTGATTTACTAGCACTAGGTATAGTATTGCGATTAAAAACCATCGCATTATTTATGTGTTTTCTTTTATTTTTATTTTTTCTGCTCTTATGGTAAGGTACGTCAATGCTAACTAGAAATTCATTCATTGCTCTAATCAGGCGCAGCCTTATAAAGTATATACTATATTTTTATATTTTTCTTCATTGTTGTTGTTTCTACTCTCGGCAGCTGCCGCACAGATAAGCACAAGCCTAGAAAATTGGGTCGCAGTTGCTATAAAGCAGTTAGGCATTTATTATTTTCTGTTTTTTTCTGTTTTTTCTGTTTTTTTTTTCTGCTTAAACATTTTCGTTTTGTGGCATCGTTAATAAATTTTGGTTTGTTTCAGCTTTATCTTTTTGATTCTGCAAACAGAAATGTGTTTAGACTGACCTCAAAACAAGAAGGAAAAAAAATAGAGAAAAGAAAACAACTCGAGCATGTCGTTTGTTGTTATTTTTGTTTACGCGTTGCCACAGGCGACAGGTGCGTCTTTATATATATATTATCATATATAGTATTTATATATAAATATTTCCATGCTGACGGCGGCATTTTGTCAAGTTTTTAGCGGCCAACAATTCGTTTGAACATGTCACTTTAAAAGCTTGTTGGCCCCGCAACAGGCCAGCCCAGACGAGCCCAGACCAGCCCAGCCCATCCCGGTCCGGTCCGGCCCAGTCCCATTCTTTAGAGCCAATTATGTGCGCTATTATGGCCAAATTCTCGTGTCACTCAATGCATGAAACGTTCGTGAAATACTTTCACAAATTAGCGGTGTCTCTGCCCGAGATACACACACACACACACACATACACACTCGTACATATCTAGATCTTATATGTTGTATATATTTTTACTTTGACTTGATTATTCTATTAGTGCGCTTGTCACAGCTCCTCGTGTCGCCATCTCTGTCGCCGTCTCTGTCTGTCCCTGTCTGTCGGATTGGCGCCCACCTACGTTGCTTTATAATTATAGCAAAAGGCTACTGTCGCCTGCAATTAGCGTTGCCGGACCTGCTGGACGCTCAATGCGTTTTCTCTCGCTCTCGCACACTGTCAGCAACGTTTAGCTTGATTTGTGCTTTGAAGCTGCTGTGTGTGGTCTGCTACATGGCATACAGTTTCCGGCAAGATTTTTTTGGCTGATTTTACAAGGCACGCCTTTTGGCTTGATAACAAGCCAACCACCGATAAGCAGCAACTGCTGCAAATACATACGTACAGGGCATTAACGTGCATGTGTGTGTGAGTGTGTGTGTGTGTGTGTGTGTGCACGGCTCGTGTGTCAGTGACATCATTGTAAGCTCAGAAATTGTGTGTGGAATGCTGGCTTAAGGTACAGGCGACGCTCTTAATTGGCTGCCATGAGCCGTAGAATTCTGTTGAAATTTTGTTAATTAGGCAGTTTTTAAAGCAAACAAACTGACATACTACACACACATGCACACAAATGTGTAGCGAATAAAGCGGCTTTCAAGCTGTTCTTCGGCCTTAGCAATTATTTTCAGTCGTACTTTGAGCACTTGTGGGAGCCCTGCCAGAGAGAGAGAGAGATAGATAGGCGCACGTGTGTGAGGCTAATCTAAAAGCGCAAAGGTTAAACGCACTGAATCTCTTGTGCTCAGTGGAATATACTCTTCATTTTAATGAATCAATTTCCAGGTCAGCTGTAAGTGCATCCTTAGCTCTCAGCCAGGCACTTGAGTCATCAGAGCAGCGTATGAGATTATGTTCCACTCGGTGCCAGGGCATCTTTGTGTGACCATTATTAACGAAAGGTAGCTACAATTGGCATTTCCGCTCGCAGCACATGACGAGCAGTAAAAAAAAAATAAAATAAAAAGTGCATAAGAATCACTCTGACGCATGCAATAACACTGTAGCTTACCTTTTGTAAAACGGTGTACAGTTATTTGTGCGCTGTACGGCTGCCATTTTATTTTACATTTAATTGATAACAATAAAAATAACAACCGCGCTTGTGCGACAACAAAGCGTGTTCATAATGTCCACACTGTACTTAAACAGAGGTGGGCGTATTTACTCTTTGCTCTTTCCACTGCTGCAGCACACGTACATACCACACATAAATGTGGAGCGACAGAGAGAGCAAGAGCGTAACTTCACACCGTGGCGAGGCGATAGCAATAGCGATAACGAGTTTTGCTTTATGTGTGTGCGAGCGCAACAGGTAGACGTAGCCGTAGCCGTAGCCATGTTGGAGAGCATGTTAAAACTCGTTCGCTTTTTCTGTTTTTGTTTTTTTTTCTTTAGTTCGTTTGCTCGCTCGCTCGCTCTCGCACCTGCAAATGGCGACTGTTCTGACTGTGGTGACGTGACCGCACAAATCAGATTTATATCAGTATTTGAAAGAACAGGTAAAACAACAAGTCTTAGCCCTCCCTTGCCAACTCATAACCAGCGGAAGCGGAAATTTATGTTACTGCTCTTCCGCTCCATCAGCCGACGCCAGCCGGCGCTCACATTTCACTCAAAGCGAAAATCCAATTGTAGTTTAAAGTTTTTCACTTTAGAAAAACAAAACAAATTTTCCCCAATGATGTTGTTGTTGTTTTTTAATGAGCAAACGGGCGTTAAACAAACAAATTAGGCCTAAAAACTGGCCGCGCATAATTATTGGGCGTATTTTGTGTTTTTTCTTCCACTTGCTATACAAATAAACACAATGTCACCGTTAATGTACAAACTAATTAGACTGGAGAGAAGCCGTTAGCCGAGGCCCATTTATATTGCTATTTTGATGACCCTGTGCTGCTGTATACCCCCACCCCCATATCCCTTGCGGACTATAAGCTTGTGATCTCATGTCAAGAGCTCATTTTTAAATTGGTTTTGTGTTGAAATGACTAATGACTGGTCACACTAAAAGATATACACGCATATACACATACACACATATGTGTGTACGTATGTTAATTGAATTCATAGAAAGCTGCTGCTGAGTAACCTATCAAAGTCCAAGCCACGGCAAGCGCACTCTCTTACTTTGCAAAGCCAGAGAATACGCGTCATGCAAGTCAAGGTTCAGCAAATAACAAAGAGCGTAACAGTGCCTGTTACACATGTACACATGTACACATGTACATATGGATGTGTGCATACAACAGGCAGATTTTATAGCGTATTGAGCAGACAGATTGAAAATTGATCGCTGATAAAAAAGTGCAGCAGCGGCCCCGCTCCAACGACAATGTCATGAACTTTACAACAATAACAGTCTGGCGTGTTTTATATTTATTTATAAAGGGAAACAAATAGCTGAGGTGAGCTGCACTGCAGCAGCAGAAAGTTCAACGGCAGCACGTAAACAACCGCATAGTCACGAAGTCGCGGGAAAAGGTGGGGTGGTGGCCTGCAACACGTGTTGCCATATGTTGGGCGAGTGAAAGTGCCGCAAATCTTTCAGCGCACTGGCTAAGTGGAGCCCCTTGCGCCCAAACCTGTCAGTCAGGCGGCTTGTGCTTTCATTGTGCACCTTTTCCAACAGGGGCAACAGCAACAACAAAGTTGCATTTGATGCGTTCAATTTGTTGCCAAACAAATCAAAGACAAACAAACGCATTTCGTTTTGATTAGCATCAGCTGCTGAAACGATACGATTTGATTTGGTTTAGGTTTTAATTCTTTTTTCCGTTAGCTTTTTTGTTTATTTCTTCACTTGCCGGCGTTTGTTGTTGTTTATGTTTCCATTTCTTATTGACGCTTTGTCGCAATATATCCCATTGAAGTTTTGTTTTAATTTATTTTTCATCATACCGATCTCGACATGCACTCGTCACACTCACTACAATGTGCGTGTATGGACTACTTTTTATGTTGTTTTTGCTTTTTGCTTATCTTCTTTGCTTTGCCTACGCTTTCATTTTTACACACATGCGTACATGTCTCAATGACAGTTGCAAGCTGACTGCTAGGTTACCTCGATTGCCACTGTCCTTTTGCCGTTGCTTCAGTCTGTTTCTGTCTGTTGTAGTTACAATTTCGTGATTCGCGCAGTGCGCATATCGCTTGATTTTTTAATTAAGTCTGTTTTTTTTTTGTATTAGTTTTGAGTTTTATACATTTAATCAGCCAAACTCTTTTAATCTGCTTGTTAAACGCAACAACGCCACAAAAAATAACAAATTCTGCTTCTGCGTTTTTTCTGCTTTGTGGTTTCGGTTTTGCTTTGCGGACTTTGAAACAGATAAAAAAAACCGTTAGAATTCGAACGGCGCAGCAAAACAAATAAATACACACGATTTGTTGTTTTAAACAACTTTTATTACCTGTGCGTCGGTATCGTGTGCGCGTGTGCGTTACGTTTTGCAAATGTATGCGTAACGAACGAGTCTCAAAATAAAAAGTAGGCACAACAAAAGCTACAACAACAGCAACAACAATGTCAGCACTTGAGCTATTGACGTGCAGATTGAATGAGATGCTGAAGGAGCGCCAACAAGCACAAGTGAGCGTCAGCGTGAGCGAGAGCGAGAGAGTGCACAACAGCGTAATGGACAAAAGCTGCACAGTATATAATTGCATTTATGTCTTATTTGAAATCAATTTAAAAAAAAGGAATTAAAAAAAGCATTTACTATATATTCTCCCGCCTCTCTTCTCTTTGCAGACCTGCAAAATATGCCACAAGGCCTTTGCGAACGTTTATCGCCTGCAGCGGCACATGATCAGCCACGACGAGTCGGCGCTGCTGCGCAAATTCAAATGCCTTCAGTGCGACAAGGCCTTTAAGTTCAAGCATCATCTGAAGGAGCATGTGCGGATCCATTCCGGCGAGAAGCCTTTCGGCTGCGACAACTGCGGTAAACGCTTCTCCCACTCGGGCAGTTTCTCCTCCCACATGACCTCCAAGAAGTGCATCAGCATGGGCCTCAAGCTGAACAACAATCGTCAAATGCTGAAAACTCTGGACAAGAATGCCAGCGCTGGACGCTCCCCAACAGATCAGCCGCAGCAGCAGCTGGCGGGCAAACGTTCCTGCAAGCTGCCGGAGCCGGTGCTGCCCAATCCGATGAATTACTTTGCTGGCGAAGTCCAAGCCCCACCGGCAGCTGCCAATGCTCCCGCGCCCTTTTATCCCAACTACAGCGCGATGAATGCGGCTTTGTTGGCATTTCCAAATGCTTTTATGGCTGCAGCGCTGGACCCGCGCATGCATCCCTACAGCATACAGCGACTGCTGGAGCTGACGGCTGCCGGTCAGCAGCAGCGGGAAGAGCAGCAGGAGCGGCTGGAGCAGGAGCATAGAGAGGAGCAGCCGCTCTATGAGCCCAGCAAGGATGATGATGAGACGCCCGATGAGCCCAAGCTGGTTATGGATCTAGAGGAGTCGGAGCCCAAGCCAGCGGCTACGGCCGAGCTGCCCGCTGCAGAACCACTTGAAGATGCCGCCGCTGTCAAGCAGGAACCCAGTCGCGAGCCGACGCCACCAGACACGCCCAAGTCCATCAAACTGGAGCAGGAGGAGTTGGAGGCAGCGCCCGTGGAGCAAACGCGTGCGCAGACACCTAAAGATCTGCGCTGCAGTCGCTGCGCCAAGCAATTCAATCATCCCACAGAGCTGGTGCAGCACGAGAAGGTGCTGTGCGGCCTAATTAAGGAGGAGCTGGAGCAGCACTACCAGCAGCAACAACAACAACAACAGCAGCAACAACAACAACAGTCGTCAAGCTTTGCGTTGCTACCTTCGGCCAGTGAAGCGGACGAGGATGACGAGGAAGAGGAGGAGCCTCGTCAGGATTACCATGCCGGCAGCAGCGACAGCGGCGAACGCAAAGTGCGCGTGCGCACCGCCATCAACGAGGAGCAGCAGCAGCAGCTGAAGCAGCATTACGCCCACAATGCGCGCCCCAGTCGGGATGAGTTCCGGCTGATAGCCGCCCGACTGCAGCTGGATGCGCGCGTGGTCCAGGTCTGGTTCCAGAACAATCGTTCACGCGAGCGCAAGCTGCAGAGCTATGCGAGCAGCGGAGAGTCCACGGCTGCCGCTCCAGTATTGCCTCAGCCGCGCGCTGGCGAGGATCAGCCGTTGGATCTGTCCGTTAAGCGAGATGCCTCCCCGCTGTACGGCCTGCCCCCTCAGCAGGCAGCTGCACAGCCCGCGCCCGCTGACTTTCCTGAGGCCATGGCCATTAATCTGAGCCGCAAACTTCCCAGCTCGGCCTCCATGTCGCCGGCTTCGCTGTCGCCCTGCTCGGGCGCCTCTTCGTTGCAGCAATCGGCCGCAGCTGCTGCTGCCGCTGCAGCGCTTTATTTTGCGCCCCCCTCGCCGCCCGGCATGCACGACGGAGCGCACACGTTGCCAACGCACAGAGCAGCGCCGCGTGGACAAGCGTTTCCCGGCCTGCCGCCGTACATGCTGCCACGCCTGCCCATGGAGGCGCTCTTCCAGATGCAACCCGGCGGCGACTATGCGCCCAATCCGCTCATGAACAGTATTAAGATGCCCGACTATCGCGGCACCAGCCTCAGTCCCGGCGGCTCCGAGAAGCGTTCGTGGCGCGACGATGATTCGCGCATCTCGCATGAGGACGACTATGTGCTGGCGGGCGGCGGTCTATTGCCGCCCAAGCCGAAGCGCGCCAAGGCCGAGACGCACGGTCATGCCGGCGATCCGGATCTTCCCTTCGTTTGCGATCAGTGCGACAAGGCGTTCGCCAAGCAGAGCTCCCTGGCGCGTCACAAGTACGAGCATTCCGGTGAGTCAGTCATTTCGAGCGAGGTATAAGCAACCGCAGCTAATCCTAATTCCAATTTGCAGGTCAGCGACCTTACCAGTGCATGGACTGCCCCAAGGCCTTCAAGCACAAGCATCATTTGACGGAGCACAAGCGTCTGCATTCCGGCGAGAAGCCGTTCCAGTGCTCCAAATGCCTGAAGCGCTTCTCCCACTCGGGCAGCTACAGCCAGCACATGAACCACCGTTACTCCTACTGCAAGCCCTACAGGGAATAGGTAAGCGACACCTCAGTGCCGCCCACCTGCGTCACAGCCGCCAATGCCGCTGCCACGGGGACAGCGCGTGCGCGTCGCGGCCCCGCCGCCCACTCGGCCAGGATGAGCAACAACAATAACCACCTGCAGCACCATCACAACAGCAACTATCCGCATCAGCTGGCCGCCATGGCGGCATTCCAACAGCATCAGCAGCAGCAGCAACAACAACATCACCAGCAGCAGCAGCGACTGCAGCATCGTCTGCCCTGCCAGCCACTTGGCTGGCCACCGTCCGTGCCTGGCGCTGGCGTCATGTTGCCGCCACCGCCCGGCAACAATATGCAGCAGCGCAGCGCAGTGCCGTCGCAAGCAGCTCCACCAACAGCACCGCCACCACCGCTGCTGTCCGGGCCGACAGCAACTGCTGTGTACGGCCAAGCGCCGCCACCACAGCCGCCGCCCTCCTTCTTTGCCAGTCCGCTGCACCATGCAGCGTTAATGGCACCACCGCACCCGCTGCCCAATGAGCGCTTCGCGGCGCCACTAACGACGCCCACGGGCGCACCGTCCCACGGCGGGCATGCGTTCAGTTTCTTCAATGCGAAAATGTTGCTGAACTGAGCGCAAATAGCAGCAGCAGCAGCAGCAACATTAACAGCAGCCGCATGCGAGCCAACTAACATAAGTCTAACAGTGAACTAACAGTGCACTTAAATGTTGTACTTAAAACAGACGCAAAAATCTCAAATTGTGCAGGAACACAAAACACACACAAGACAACAACACACAAAGAAAAACGAATATAGAAAGGAACATAATAATTTTAATAATAATTATAATAATGGTTATATACTCCAGATGCAACTGGCAGTCAACTCAGTAGAGCGCAGATGAAATATTTTTTATAGCCATATTTTGCCCGTGTCATTTTTTGTTGCCACAAAGTAAAACGAAAAACGCAAGTAAGAAAAACCAAAACAAACAAAAAAAAAATGAAAAGAAAAGAAAACCTTTCGTTTGAGCGAATTTATTATTTTTAGTTTATCCTTTTGCATAATGTTTTTAGTATTTTAAATGATTTACGCTTAAGTTGAAATCAGTTTTTGTTTCATATATGAATACCGTATATATAAATATATATATATTTATATATTTTTATACATTCGAACTATTTACGTTTAGTTTTTAGAAGCGAAAAGAAAAACCCAGTACCAAGTGCTGCGAAATACTCAAAAGCTTATTTCTTTATCGATTGGAACAGACACGTGCCACAATTATCATTTTATTAAATATTAACAACTATGCTTTATTATCGGGATAAATGTATAACTTATTTGGTTTAATCATTAGCTTTAAAATGTAGTCGAACTGTCTGCTAGCAGGCTGTGTAAATACACTACATTTTTGGACCACAACAACAAACAGCAAACGTTAACTTGACAATATTGTATTTAAAGAAAATTTAAAAACAAAAAACAACGCCGAGCTAGATGCTCTCTCGCAAAAGTATTAAACATCAGCCAACTGTATTAAAGCCAGAGTTAAAAAAAAAAACACAAAACTTAATAAATTATGCCACACACACGCACACACACACACACCCCATACACACATACACATATGTAAGTTATGTTAATGAAAACCCACCGCTTGCTGCGCGTTTCAAGTTCATACTTAAAAGAAAATGTTTTATTATAAAATACACAGCAATTTGTATTTGTTTATTTTGTATGAAAGTTGAAATATTTATGTAACATAATAACTAAACGATAATCGAAAGAGAAGTATATCTAAAGGAGACACCTATACGATCATTCCATTTAGCTAGAGTTGCGCTTGAAGAAGGTGCCCCGCCCCATGCCACATGCATTTAAATGAAGAACCTTCGGCTACTTGAGCGATAAAGAAACACTCGATGTTTTGTAAATGTAATATGCTTATGTAAGTGCTATGCTAGGTTGCGTAATTCGAGCACAAATTCATAAAAATTAACATTTAATACAAATATTTAATATATACACAAACTACACACAAAAACCTAAAGCTAAAGCGCAAAACAAAAACTTAATTTGGCCTTATTAAACATTATTTAACAATTAATTAATCACTAACAAAAAAAAACATTATATATATAAGCTAAAAACGTTTACAAAAACCAAAAACAAACATTTAAATTTAGTAAGTTAACAAAAAAACAAAAACAAAAACTTTTGGAAAAGTCTCTAAAGAAAACTATTAGCAAATTTCAATGTACGTATTGATGTAAAGAAAATCCTTCTCCTCAGAAAAACAAAAAAAAAATTAAAAGAAAAAAAACTATTAACATTAACTATTGAAATGTTTACAAGGACAATAAATTTCTAAATAATTAGAATGCTTTCAAATTTTTGCTCCAAATTAATTCAATTCAAATAATTTAATCGCATAGCCAAAAATTAAATAAATAAATCAAACAACAGCAATAAAATACGAAAAACTAAAAAAAAAAACAGGTCTAAATTGATGATAAAACGCGAAAAAGGTTTCCAGAACAACGAAAATTAATTTATTAATGGTTATTATTGTGCTATGTCTAAACTATAATTAACAAACAATTTCTCATACATCTACAGTTAACATCAATTTTCTTTTGCTTTTCCAAAACAACAAAAAAAAAACAACAAAAATATGCATTTATTACTTAATTAATTTTTATAATTGTAATTTTTTAAAAAAACAAACCCAACTTTATATATATATAAATATATATATATATATTTTTTGTAAATTATTTCGCAAGAAAAAAAGCTAGAGAATCCAAATACACAAAAAACAAAAACAAAAACGCGCAAAACTGTAATTCTTTCAACTAAATAAAAATAACAAAACATACAGCACTCGTTTAGCATAAATTATATAATTAATAAATATATAAATTAGACTAGTTAAACGTACAGACGCAATGTCTTTATAAATGTTAACTTACAAGAAAGAAGCGAATTAATTATAATTAAGCGCAAATATTTGAATTGTGATGGAGATGCCGGCGATAATATTTGCACTCTAGGGCCTTATATGAGATACACACACCTACACACACACACATACACACTGAAAGAACACACACACTTGTTAGTTATTTAAATTAAGCCTAATTAAGGTGCATGAAGTGCATACTCTTAAGTTCCCAATCATTTTATTGTCCACCGCAGCCTCTGTTAAAGTTGTTCGCCACAGTTTTCATGTAAATAAGCGTGAGAAAATTGACCATATACCATGATGATACTTGGGATCGCATCTGACGTAGGTTTCGCTACAAAGTATGTGCTTGTATTATTTGTTTTATGTTTTATGTTTTTACAAACATTTATGTTTAGTTATGCGTTGAGACACTGGCATCAAATGTTAATTGCTATACAAGTACACGTGAAATAAAAAAAAACAGTTTAAATAACTTATATTTCAAATATTATGCATAAATGTATTTTAATCAAAATAAGCCAAAAGGATAAAACATTTTTGTCTTGATACATTTACAAAATTATTATAATTATTAAATTTACAATGTGAAAATAAAAAAAAAAAACAGATTATTAAAATTTAAACTATTCGCCTCGTTTTAATCATTGCAACAACAATTTCAATTTGGTTAACTGCTCGACTTTAAAGCCACAGCAAAAATCATTTAAGATCCTTAACAGGTAGTTGGTTCATCGGAGGTCAGTCCAGATTCTCGGGAAACACCATTTAGCATTTGGACCTAACTCACACTTTTTCAATATTAATTTGCTGGCTTTTTGACAAATGAATTCATTAATAATCACAATCGTTGGTACATATGATATCCTTAATCAGGTCCAGATTGTTGCAAAACATATGAGGGAACTCCTTAGGTGCTACCCAATCCCAGTTATAAGAAAAACGCAACAGAAACTGATTTTTTTTTTACATATTTTGCTTTCCATTTATTAATTTGTTATTGTAAATCGATTGGCCAAGGCACGCGTAGTGTTATATTCTTCTTCTTTCCTTTCAGTAAAAACAAACTCGGGCCAATAAGAAAAAAAAAGGTGAACAAATCGCATTTTACCAACGAGCTTACAACAAACAAAAAATGTTTTATGTACCTTTGCTTAGACATGAAAATTACACTAAATTATTGTTAGCGAATTATAAACTAAAAAACATCTTAGCGCTAAAAATGTATTGCATATATAAAACTATCAATTAATTTTCTTTTACAAGTTATATTTAATCCGTATATAGATATCGATTTTTGTTGTTGTTTCTTTTTTCAATTCTAATAGAAGTTCTGTTGAATATTATAAAAAAAAAACAATTTCATTTGGCATTCAACAAGTTCGTCTAACATTGCTATATATGCAGCTAGTATTAATAATATTTAAATATATATATATATATAAATTTATGTATAGAATATGCATAGAGTCTACACGATAGATACATTATAGTTTGTTCTTTTATTTTATATATTTTTTTTTTTTTTTGGGAGGGGTTTGGGGGGCGCTTAATGCATTCAAAGATTGTAGAATGAGCAGTGATACAAAGTGATAGATAGTTGAGTTTAGAGCGCGCCCGCGGGCATAATATTTAAGAGTAGAGTTGTATAGATTAGGCTTATAAGACCCGCTTATATCGCTAACTTGTTGCGATGCTGTGCTCTGGATCGGTTCTCGATGGATCCTAGCACAAAATAATTTGTTGTCAAGCTAAAGTTTCAAGGTTTCCGTCAATGGCCCCAACTATCCAGCCTGCTGAAATAGTTGCCATTGACTGAACGCTGTAAATTGGTCCAGGCTTAGTTAAATTCGCTTCTCCTATGAGTTCTTTCTAGTATAGTTTTTTTTTCCTCAAGGCATATGTCATATACATATTTATATGGGTGTGTGTGTGTGTGTGTGTGTGTGTAAGTATGTATAGCTTTTGAGCACCAGGAAATTGGTTCAATTGGTTGTCCAAGTCTATATAAATTTAACATGTATTCATAGTATATATTAATATTCATTTCATTGATACTCAACGTTAATCATCATAAATATCGTACATAACTATTTGTATTATATGTATATATATATATTTATATATGTATTTGTATATGTATATGTGTGTGTATATATACGTACGAGTACGTGTTGTAGTGTACAAGATCTTTAGTTTACAAAAAATCAAAAGTTATGACTCATTTCATTTAAATTTATTCAGTTCCTGCATTCAAGCATATATATATATATATATATATATATATGTTTGTATGTATGTGTAGTCCCTTTTCTAATCAACCGTATATCATTTGTTATAAATATGTATGCTATATCTGCATATAGTTCGTCTCGCTGATGTTCTAACATTAAAAAAAAAAACATACAAAATGCCAGAAATTTAAAACATTATTTGCTCAGTGCCTCAACATTTTTTTTCTTCTTTTTTTGGCAACAAATTCAACTAAAACACTAAATGAACATTTTGTTATAAGAAATTGTTTAGACTTAACAGCGCTGCTGTTAATACGCTGTTAGCACACTTTTAACGGCTGTTAAGGTGTGTTTGGGTGGGTATGTGTGTGTGTGTGTGTGTGTATGTGTGTGTGCGCGGTCTCTTCATACGTGTTTTGTGACTATTTGACTAACAATGAAAATGTTTGATTGATTGATTGACGGCATCTCAGACAAAGACCGGCGCCTGGTCATCCGTCATGTCCGACTGCTGTCGGTCATCGAAAAATCGTCTAAAGGTAAATTCGAAAAATCCATGGAATTGCCTATCATTCAGATCGATATCGTCGCCACTACTCAAATTGGAATCGTTCGAGCGCAGCTTGTCGGGATCGACGGGATCAAAATTGGACGTGTCTGTGGGATGCTTTATTTCCGGTATATACGGTGCCTTCTGCTTACGCATATCCGCGAAATCGATGCCCTTGAAGAACTCGTGTGCCTTGACCTCATCCACACTCTTGCCCAGCCGCTTGTCCGCGGAGGCGCACAGTCGCCGTATCAGATCCGTGGCGTCGCGTGATAGTTGCGCCTGTGGCGGTATGTGCAACGTCTTCTCCCAGTTTATGACCTGCAATTAATCGATTGTGAACTATGATCGCGAAGGGTATATGATAACACGCACCTTTTGCTGCGTCTCCATGGGGCTGTTGGCCAGAAACGGTGGCTGACCCACCAGCATCTCGTAGAGTATGACGCCCACGCTCCAGTAATCGCACAGCTGAGTGTAGCCGCTGCGTTCCAGCACCTCAGGCGCTATATAGTTGGGTGTGCCGACTAGGGAGTGCGCCAGGACTCTTTGATGATCGCGCATCCGTCGCCTGTTCAAAGGAGTCAAAGGAAGATTTATATAGCAAATAGTTTTCAAGCAGCTGATGTAGATGCACCCACCTCTCCAGCACGGTGGGCTTGGTACCGTTCTCCGAAAAGTCCTCCCAAGGCTCCATGGAGTCCTGTCGCGAATGATTGCCTAAAAATAGAGCCAAGTAAGCATCTGCGACACTTTCATACAAACGAAGGCCACATACCATTCTCCTGGTAGTATTTGGAGTTGTGCGTCCATCTAAACCCAGTGCATAAACCAAAATCGGTGAGTTTTATGTGCCCGTCCCGGTCGATGAGTATGTTGTCAGGCTTGATGTCCCTGCAAACACGACAATTAATTATCAAATTTGTATTACTTTTAAAGCAACAAGAAGGAATCACGATTATACAAGTGAGTGTTTGCTATTTATTTATTATAAGTTTTAGGAAAGTTAAGAGGACTAATGCCGAAAATAACAATTGGTTTATGCAACGGCTTTTCCTCAATTTTAGTCAATACGGCTTTCTTCTTTCCTCTTTATTCTCTGCTGATCTCTTGCTGTTACTTTTTCCCAAGAATTCTGTACCTCTTCTGCTATACTGCTGTAAATTATCTAATGCTGCTGCTGATAATCTTTTACTGCTGTTATTCACGTGCTGCTCTTTTTCATTTGCAGCTGTTATTCCTCTGTTTCTGTTCATTATCTGCTGCTATTAATCCTCTGTTGCTGTTATTCCTCCGCTGCTGTTTATTATCTACTGCTGTTAATTATCTGCTACTGTTAATTATCTGCTGCTGTTAATGCTCTGCTGCTGTTATTTCACTGCTATTAATTTGTTGCTTTGAATACCAAACCTTTCTTAAAAACATAATTAAGGAGTACAATTTATTTGGTTAAATCGTTACTTAGATCAAGAACCAAAACTAAACTATGCTCCTATTTGACCAAAACCATATTCAAATTGGACTATTATATCGTATGGTTCCCATAGGAATAATCGCTTTTGTTAGATCTTCTATAGATACAAGATCTTTCTCACTTGTATTTCAGTAGCTTATTGAGTACTTAAATTACCTGTGAATGAAGCCCATTTTATGCACACTGTCCACGGCGCAGGTGACCTCGGCTATGTAGAAACGTGCCAACGGTTCCTCAAAGATGCCCAGCTTGATCAGTAGCGACATCAGATCGCCGCCTGGCAAAGAGTATAATCAGATTATTATAAATGGATTCCCATTTAATGGAATGGCATGCCAAGGAGCTTACCGGGTATGTAGTCCATAACGAAATATAAATTATCCTTATCCTGAAAACTATAGTAGAGCTTGACAACCCAATTGTTGTCGGCCTCGGCCAGAATATCACGTTCGGCTTTCACATGAGCCACCTGGTTCCGCTTGAGGACATCCGCTTTGCGCAGCGTTTTCATTGCATACAAATGATCGGAGGTGTCGATTTTGCGGACCAGCGTCACCTCACCAAAGGCGCCAACGCCAATTATCTTGATCTTGACGAACATGCTCTTGTCCATTTTGGCCCGCTTGAGGCGGATGTAGTTGCTCTCCTTCTGGCTGAGCATTTTGCGCATCTCGATTTGTGTCTCATCGGAGAGGCCCACCTTGAGCATTTCCTTTTCCAGCTGATTCTTGCGGAATGTGCGCTGGCGATAGGATTTGATCACATTCTCGATATGCTGCTCCATAAAGAATTTGAATGCCTGCGGCGAATACTGGCGTATCCGGAACTCTTTGCGCTCCTCCTCCTTCTCTTTGGAGATCTTCTTCCGTTCGGGTATGGGCGAGGCGTGCTTGATCTTCTTGCAGGCGGCGGCGGCTGCGGCAGCAGCAGCAGCGGCAGCAGCCGTTGCTGTCGTCGTGGAGCCATTGCTGCCACTCGAGCTGTTGCCGTTGCCTCCTGCCCCACCGCCCCCTCCACTGCCACTGTACTTGGCTGGCGGAATGGGTGGCGTTGTGGCCAAGTTGCTGTTGCTGATTTGTATGTTGTTGTTGTTGCTGTTGCCCGCTGGCTTCAGCTCAGGCGCCTGGCTGACACTGTTGTTGTTGTTGTTGTTGCTGCCGCCCAGCTCGGGCGTGGTGACGCGTGCGCTTTGATACGGCGGCGGCGGCGGCAACTGACGATTCGCATTGCCGTTGCTGCTGACGGGCAGCGGCTTTTAAAAAAGGAAAGAATTGAACATGAGTTGGGGTTGGCAATTTTTTGTGAAAACTCGCTTAACTCGCAGAACAGCTCTGACCAGGTCACAATTTACAGCTTGGCAAAAATTTTTGTAAAAATGGGCAATAGAAAATCTTGAAACAGTCGAAAATAGATTGTTTATTTATAAATTAAATTAGACAAGTTCTAAAGTGACCATTACTATTTATTAAAAGCAATAATTGCCCGGCTTGATTCATCCAATATTCAATTTACTTCAAATTAAATACCTCACTCGAAATCCCTTTAAAAAGGTGGAAATTTCAATTTACCCGTAACATCTAGCATCCCCATTTCCACCCAACGCAGTGGATTTATCTGTGTTGGTAGGGCAAGTCTCAAATGTCATTTGATGGAGATATCTAAAAAGTCAGACCGCACTTTCAACATCCATTCATATTGGAAATTTAAATTCACCCGTACTTTATTGAATCCTCATTTCCACCCAATAATGTGGTTGGTGTTCGTAAAGCAAGTCTTAAATGTTGTTTAATGGAGATATTTGAACATGTGCTTCAAGTCAATCGGTTGGCAAACAATCAAATTTACTTAAACCGTTTTCCATCAATTTTTCACGCTTCCGGGTGGAAAGCTCGTCTCATAATAAGGTAACTGCAGTTGCAGCTAGCTAACTTTCACGTTTTGAACTGTGCATGGATCATCATAAGTCAATAAGTCAATCATCAACATCTACCTAGGCAGGCAAGAACTGGCAACGCAACTGTTCACTTAAGCGAGCTTTCACTGTAATTAGACGTACCTTTTGTTGCTGCTGCTGCTGTTGCTGTTGTGCCTGCAACTGTTGCTGTTGCTGCTGTTGCGCCTGCAACTGTTGCTGCTGTGCCTGCAACGCACGCAGTGTCTGCAACTGTTGCTGCTGTTGTTGCTGCTGCTGCTGCTGTTGTTGTTGCTGTTGCAGCTGCTGCGGCTGCTGCGGCTGCTGCTGCTGCTGCTGTTGTGGCTGCGGCGTTGTGGCCGCCTTGGCCTGCATGCTCTTGGCATAGGAGGGCGGCTCCATGCAGACCGCTTTGCCCACCACGGCGCCATTCAGCGCGCTGGCCATTAGCGGTGGGGTTGTGGGCGTGGGCGGCTTCACTGCGCCGGCTACCACCACCGGGGTGGGCCCCAGGAGTGGCGAGTGTTGCTGTGCGGCCGCTGCCGCTTGCTGTTGCTGCTGCACCACCGCTGGCGACTTTTGCGGATAGGAGGGCGGTGCGGCGAGCACATGCACGGGCGAATTGCTTGCGGAGGCGCTGACCGGCGACTGGGGCGCTACAGCCGTCTGGAGCACCGGCTTCTGCACCTGCGTGGATTTGACGCTCTGCATGATGATGGGCTGCTGGGTGCGCGCCTGGTAGGCGCGTGGCTGCGGCCGGGCGACGCCCGCGGAGGCGGGCAGTATGCCGCTGGCATTGCTCACGGTTATCGGACTGGGCGAGCCCGCCGAGGTGGCCGAATAGATGCCGCTGCTGGGCGATTTGCGGTAATCGGATTGCTGCGACTGCGTCGGCGACTGGCGCGACTGCATGGAGGCCGTGTAGCTGGGCGGCGGCGGTGCGGCGTTCACCACCACCGTATTGATGAGATATGGCGGGGGTGGCTCGACGGCGGCACCGCTGCCCGCGCCCGGATACATGTTGAGCGCCTTCATCTGCTGCGTCAGCTGCTGCTGCGCCTTGATCCCGCTGCCGTTTTGCGGTATGACTGGAGAGGTGCCACGCGTCGTCGGGCAGCTGGGCGTGATCGCAGCCGGGCGATTCAGTGCGGGCGAACGCCGCTTGAACATCTGATTGGTGGGTGGCGGTGGGGGCGGTGTCGCTGAGCTGCCCACCCCGGTGGGATTGCGCGGCGGTGGCGCTGGCGGCGCCGCATCACTGAAGCTGCTCGGCGAGGGCGAGTACTGGCCGGTGCTGGCCCGGCCGCTGAGCTGCTGGTGGGTGTGCGAGTGCGGGCTGTCCGAACGGGAGCTGCCGGCGCCAGAGTCCAGCGCCGGACTGCAGCGCAGATAATGCGTCGGTGTCTCGCGCTCAATGCTGGGCTTGCGTATCAGCTTGGGCGCTATCAGAGCGTTGATCATCTTTGGCACGTGGCCGTTGGCCGTGGGCAGAGCAACGGCGACAGCGGCCGGCGATGGCGGCACGACGACATCCGGCGAGGGAGACGCCGATGCCGATGGTGGCTCCAATGGCAGCTTTGCGTGGTGGTAATCGGGTGCATCGTTGCGGCCATTGGCGGCGGTATATCGCAGAGGTGTGTAATTCTGTATATTAATCGAATAGAAAACAAAATCGATAAGTAAAGCTGCCATGTATATCGATATTAGTAAATATTTAAACTATCGATACAAACACCATATAGACGGAATATTCTTTTAACGATTTTTCATATTTATTTTGCATTTTATAAGCTAAGTAAAATCGATAATATCAACCAGCAAAGTTATCGATAAATCTTATGTAATCCTAGATAGCTAGATAGATTAAGTTTGTTCAATATATCAATTTAGTAATATTCACATTAAACTATACAAATTTCTATGGAAATATCCCAAATATTCTTAAATGATTTTTAGCATTTATTATATTTTTTTAAATCGAAATATAGCGGGTTATCTATATATTGGGCATTTTCATAAAATTCAAGTGTTTCATATTTCGTTGAGAGCCAAATATTACTCTTTAGTATATATGTATGTATGTTTCCCAACCCCCACTAACTACGCCACTGGCCGAGCAACATTCCTGCGCTGTGAGAAACTTTGTGTCTGCATACATGTATAATATGAGTATACGTGTGTGTATGTGTGTGTGTTTGGTAGCAGTTTGAAAACTAAACAAAAGGCGCGCATACAAAATAAAAACAAAAATGCGAACAGCGCCTAAAACAAAAGGCACAAGAAATGTGGTGGCCAAAGCAATGAAATCAAATTCTTGCCATCGTTCAGAAATTCCTAAAAGTCAGGAGCACACAAACGCACACACACACACGCACAGAATCAGAGAGCAAACGAAACAGGCGCACAAGAGAGAGCGCGTGAAGCGATGAACAACAACAATGGCAGCAAAGCGATCGCCGGCTGACAGATTGCAGCAAACAGACAACAGGGCAGCCTTCAGTTAGAGTGTATGTGTGTTGTGTATGGGTGTGTGTGTGTGTGTGTGCACTTTGCTGCTGCTACCCGTTTTACGCATTCTTTTGATGCTACTACATCATCTTGTTTCTTTTGTGTCTGATCCTCGCATTTTGACTTTGCGTGAGGGATGGCCATAAATATCGTGATGGCAACGTGACATAATATATGTGCACAGTCACGCACGATCACGAAATTGAGTGTCAGATCAAATGTTAAGAGCGAACGCTGTTAATGTCAATGTACATATACAAACAGAAAGACTAGAACAGCTGCTAAGAATAATATAAATTTGAATTTGTGGCAAGATGTTTAAGTGAAATTAACACAAGACAAATTGTATATGAATGTATATAAATACAGTTGTTATTTTTAGACAACATTTACTACGCATCACTAGTGGATATACATATCTGTATACGTATTTTATCTGCTACCCGCCGTATTAGCCCTCAAGTGGGCGACCGTTTGATGTGCGGCCAGACTAATTAAAACCAAGGACGCGAAACCCAACAAAAGAGACCCCCAACAGACTGTTCGACGCGTTTGTCGTCCGCCTGATCCGATCCGTCTTACAAGCAAACCAATTGATGGCTAATTAGCCGAAAAGCCAATGGGCGCACTAAATCAGCTGAACCGTTAGAGCCCGTGTCACGACAAATATTTCAAATTAAAATAAATTGGATTTGCGGGAAGGTGGTAAACACTTTCGCTAATCCATTTAAACGCCCAGGCAATGCAATTGCCAATGGGCAATACGTAAACCTAGATACAAGGGCGAACATTTCGGACATTTATCGCCTTGACCGAAATAAATTTGAACCTGACAATATGTGTATATAGATATAGATATAGATATAGATATAGATATATAGATATTTCTATTTCTTCAAGCGATAGTAATATAAAGCGAAAATAATGTGGAATATTTTGTGCTTTTCTTGGCCCATACACATACATAAACATAATTTGGCCAAAAGATACATCAAAATTCTTGGCAACTGGCGAATCTACATCTATACATGCCATATATCCCAGTGCTATTGTATGTAAATATTTGCCCATAACATACATATATACATATGTATGTTATTTTTTTTTTGGGAATGCAAAACGTTATTTTTGTTTTGTTGTCTTTTGTTATTATTAGAGACGGCCATGTTAATTTCTGGCTTCAGCTGAAAATTATATATGTATTTGTATACTTATTTATTTAGGTGAAAATTCCAAGGAAAATCGCGACGCGTCGCAAAGAAATCGCGAAAAATAAAAAGAAAAATCGCACACAAGGGAATATTTTTTTTAATCGCACAAAATAAATCTGGGCAACGCTCCCAATTGGGGAATTCTGATGAATTTTTAAATACTGCGGCAATTAGAAAGATATTTTCTGTCTATAAGAATTAACATCGGTATATGTACACATATATAATCGAAACGATTTGGTGTTTTGGGTAAATGTTCATTAATTTCGGAAATTCAAACGGAATGCCCCTAATATTTGAATAACTACAGTTAATAAAATGAAGATATACCAGATATAATATCTAAAATCCCTATTATCTTGATTCAGTTTAAACATGAATGACATTTGTTATCCAACTGTGCGCATACTTTTATCTTCAGCTGTATATGATTTATAAATAGCTTTTGGGTTTATGACAACCAATTAGAGCTCAAAAGCCGGATTACATACATACATATGTAAGTAGTACTAAAGTAATGTGTGTGTGTGTGTGTGTATGAGTGTGTGAATTGGTAATCCCAGAGCATGGACATCGAAGAGTTAGCATGGGGGCAAGGCGGGGGGGGGGGGGGGGGGGGCAGCTGTGCATTGTTTGATTGCCTTTGCGTGTTGACTAATTTATTTATGCATATTTTATCATTTTGTCGCTCGTATTTATATTTTAATTTTTATATTGCCATTTAGCCCACTGTCGTCGGCATTTGGCGTTGGCGTCTGCTGTAAAATTTATTTCAACCGTTTTGTTATTTTAATTAGTTCTACGTAAGCTTTTCAAATATTTATTTATTTATATTTTTGACTCAATTTGGTCCGAACTCGTGCTTGCCGGCCGGTTCGTGTCTCTGCTATGCTCTGTTATTTATAGCATTGTCAAATGCGGCACGATCGTTTTATGGTAGCTGGCGGCGCTGCTGCAAAAAGTCGCCTCCAAAAGAAGCAGCGAAGCGTGGGCGTGAACATGGCCGCCGAAAGTGTTGAGCGGTCCATGAATAAATTGTATTTATTTATCGTTTTGGACAGCCCACATATGGCCTGGGGCGGGGGCGGTACAACAATTCGCCATATATGAGCAGATTATGGCCTGGTATTTAGTGCGCAGCATGACTAATTAGCCAAAGGCCACGTGGCCGGGCGAAAGTTGGCTAATAATGAGAGATGCAAAACTCAATGTAAAAAACGCCGCCTGCAGCATAAAATTCCAACTGTCAATGTGGCTGGTCATAACAATTTGCCGCATCCCGCCGTCAGCAACAGTTTTTTTTATGGCCCGAAAAACCGGCAACTCCTGCCTCTACAGTTCTTAGCTCGGGTTTGGTGGCGCGGCTGAGCCACAGGAATGCCTGGCTAATCGTATGGATCGAGCGCTCGATCATAATTTACAATCGCACAAACAGTAGCTGGCAGTAGAATCGTAAAATTTTAAATTAATGACCCGTCAGATCATATTTAACCATTTTTATGACTTGTGTCCAGTTGCTGCCGCCGCTGCCCCAACGTGAGGCTGCACTTTTAGCTGGGCAAAACAATCGATAAACCAGAGAGCAAACAGTTTATAAATGATTATTTGCCAAGTAGTGTTGCAAATTGTTTGAAAAGATTTTCATAAGTGAGAAATGCAAGCGTTCCGTAGCTCTCTTTTTCTCTCCTTTACTGAACTCTTTTTGCACCATTTCGTTTTGTGCGCACTTCATCAGCAATGCTTTTGAAGCTTTTGACAGCTGTGACGTCAATGCTTAATATCCAGGGCGATCGCATGCACACATACACAAAGCTTGCGGCACGCACGCATTTCGCACTCACGCATGCCAGGCGAGAGTGGGAGAGACAGAGAGAGAGAGAGAGAGAGAGAGAGAGATACAGAGTACTGGACATTTTGTCTGGCAGCACAATTCGCCCACTCAGCTGTCATATAACAGTTGTGTGCGTGTCTGTGTGTGTAATAGCAGAAGGTCAATTGCATTTTGTTGGCAGTTCATTAATTTCATTTCAAGCTCTCTGCATCTATTTTTAGCACAAACAAACACACACACATACGCAGATACGCACACCCACACCATTTCTATTTGCTTTGCCCCTGAGCTGTGACTAACATTTTCTTTTGGTCAGCCTAATTGCTAACTCCTGTTGCGGCCAAAAAGTCGCCCACACGCAGCAGCAGCAGCAGCTGTGAGAAATGTCTTGGCCAACATTGATGTATTATTACTGTATTTTACCCCTCTGGCACAGGTGAACAACACGCGGCGATGTCGGCTCGTGCCATCAGCTGAGCATGTTTCCACAATGCGCCCACGCAGCAGCCACAGCTAAGTTGTTGTATTTTGTTTTATTGTTGTTATTCTTTTTCATTGCTTGTCGCCCGACATGCGTTTTATCTAGTTGTTAATTTTTTATTAGTTGCCGTGTTTTGGGTTTCTTTTCTGTTCTTCTTGTTGTTGTTGTTGTTTTCTACGCATGAAAAATGTTGCCGCATCGTTTGTAACGCACTAAAACAAACTGATAAATTGAAAAAGAAAGAGAGAGAGGCACATGAAGTGAGTAAGTGTTATGCTCTTGTTCTTTCTACTTCACACATTCCCGTTCGTTCTCCATTTTTTCTTTTTTGTGTTTTCTATAATATTGCATAGTTAGCTGCGTTAAGTTGATAGAAAACTAGAATTTTTTGAAATATTTACAGTTTTCTCAGGGTTTTATGGTTTTCTGTATGAATCACAAGGGAATTTTATTCTTAAATGCCAGCTAATCAGCGCTCATGGTCAAGGAAATTCTCAAGTGTGTTAACATTTGAAGAAGTTCCCCTGGTACCTTTTGTATTGGGTCTTACAATATCTGATTAGTGTGCTTCTTATCAATCGTCAAACTTAATTGTTTCTCTTCATTACGTTTTAATCTTTATTATAGCCATTTTTGCTTTCGACAATCTCTGCAGGCCTGGATTTGTATTTTTAGCTAACTATAAGCTTATTTTGATATTATGCTTCGGTGTAAAAACTGATTTTAACTGTCGACAAATTGTTATTTCCCTGTTTTCAAGTTATTTTTTTTTCACCGACTAGAGTATATGTTCTTATATAACCTTAAATACCTAAAACTTACTTTATTTATATCTTAATACAATATTTCTTTTTAAGTTTTAGCTTAATGAAATACATATTTCATATTAATACATATTATTAACTCAGATTTTCTTCTGCTATTTATTTCGCTTACCTGATTATTTCTATGATTATTTTGTACTTCGAATCGAGTTAGATCCTGTTTAATGCTCTCGAGCGCTTCCGCTGTGTATTTATCATTGGGGCGACCGCCCCTTTTTTCGCCCGCTGGATGCATTATGCTGCTGCTTCTTCTCTTTGTGATATTTAGCACTCATATCACAAAATGCTGCACACTCACACACGCGCACGACACGAACAAACACACGAGCACTCCACCCCACTCCACTCACACTCACACTCTCACACACACACGCACACACGCACTTAGCAAGACGCAGATGCGCTCACTAAACAGCAGCAGCAGCGATTTAATTTAAATAAATACTTTATGTTTATTTCTGTGTGCGTGTGTGTGTGTGAGAGAGAAGCTTTTTCTTCTTCTTCTGCTTCTTGTAGCTGCTGTTTTTGCTTTTGTTGTTGTTGTGGTTTGTAGTTTGCTTTTGCTTTAATTTCAGGCACTTTTTTGCTTTTGTATTTGAAACGTGTGTTGACTTTTTTTTTATAATGAACTACTTACTAGTCTTGGCTTAAGGTAAGTATGCGTCTATTTAGCTTTATAAAGTTTTATTGTCGTTGTTTTTTTGCTTGTTGTTTTTGTTTTGCGCTCGTTTCGCGTTTGGCTTTTTCTTTTATTTTATTTACCACTCGCTAAATTCTTCACTAAGGCACTTCATTTGCATTATAATAAAAACATTTTTTTTTTGCTTGTTGCACAAATTCATTTTGCATGTAAATATATTCACAGATATCTGTGTATGTTGTTAAGTCTTCATGTTGTATCACATTTTCTGCTGCTGCCCTTTTTATTCATTTCATTTTATATTTTATCACAAATTCTGGCACTCATCATCATCATCATCATCGCAATACAATTAATATTTTAGGCGGGCACTGGAAGTCACTCAATGAATGAATTTGAATATTTGAATACGAAATATACGTATGTATGTATGTATATTAGCTGACGTTGAATTTTAATTAATAATATACACGATCGATGTCGCCAACTTGCTGAAAATAGACAGAAAACAGACGATATAAAATAACTTAAACTGTGGAGAAGAACCCTTGCGCTGGTGTTTCGAGCGAGGTAGATACCCTATACTAAATCATTCAGTAAACACATAAATCTATTATAAGCATACATTTCATTTTAACATATTTAGTTTTCGATGATTTTGTAATCCTTTCAAGTTTTATCCCTCATTTATGGCGCACTCTATATATACGTGCACGTTTGATTAATAACAGTCTACATACCAAATTTCACGACTCTACTTTTTATAGTCCCTGAGCTCGAAAAAGTCAAAATGTTGGCTATGTTAGCTAAGCTTCCACTCAAAATAGTTTTAACTGTATTTTAAGATACATGAGTAAATATTAAAAGACGACATATTAAATTCCATGCATTTGCTGTTTTCTTTAATCGGTTACATGAAGTTTCCAAAAGTGATCATACCCTTGATGACAATATTTTCGATGCAGGGTATTCCAAAAATTGTCACACGCTATGCAGATGCGACGCGTTTTAAAGGCAACTAAGCAGCTCCATCACTCATGCACACATATACACACACACACACACTCACGCAGCACTCATTTACATGCCGAAGACGTGAGTCAGAAGAGAGACACGCTGCCAGCCACAATGCTGTTGTTAAAAATTCTGTTACAGTTTTTTTTTTTGAGTTTTTTTGTATGAAACACAACCGAATTGGCAGCAGTCGTCATATTGGAATGATTTGCACGCTTTGCAAAGGTGACTCTCAACTGGAAATTTGGAAAGTCTGGCGGCGCATGATCATAATTTATGCATTGAGTAGCGCATTATGTCATAACCATATTCCGGGAAGCGTATAAATTCCCTCAAACTCATTTTTATGACGAACCATTAAATTCACACATTACCAAATTGACGAATTAGTGATGGGCTTGGGGAAAGGCTAAGGGCAAGGGAGGTATTGGCGTGCGCACCTGACTATGAAATCGAGCCATCTACAGGTACACACACACACTCACACACATACACACAGCTGTACAAATATGTAAACAAACAAACGAAATAGCCGAAAATATTTCACCAAACTGTGCCAAGTGCAAATGAATAAACCGAAAAGCAATTGGAACTCTGTTTTTATGTATGCCAAATATTAACAGTGTATATTAATATAGGTACATTCTATCAAGTACATAGATCCGTACAAAACGACTCAAATAAGCAGCTTGAGCTTCATAAAGCAACATTTAATAAGAGCTCTCTTGTAAGGACAAGAGCGCAATATAACGGTGCGCTACACATTTACTCTTACTATGTTAACGTGAATAGTTTACAGCTGTTTACATTTATTGCTTTGGCCTTGGAATGGTGATGAACATGCAGCTTATTTACTTTTATATGTATCATTTTATCTCTTTAAAAGCATCGGTGTTCATGGAAAGTGAAAACTTTAAGTGGAATATTATACAGACTGATGGAACTTTGATTATTTTTTAATATTTAAATAAAACTTTAATGCAACATATAACTGTTAAAACTAAATGTTTAAATTTAATTTTAACTTCTAAATGAACATAATTTCCCCTTTCAAGCTAGATTCCTTGAACCGTTACTGATCTCCTTATGGATCATGGAAATGAAATACTTTAAGAGAATTGTGGTTGGCGCATATAAATAACTATGGGAAATTATAGGGACTTTTATTATTTTTGAAGTAACTTTAAAGTTAATGTCAAAGCTGTTATTTTAGCATAGAACTCTAATAACAGCACTCAGCTGTGCAATTCTTCGCCTTTATTTCCTTTTTTAAACCAAATTCTCCAAGATACCTAATACTAATTGGATCCTAGCTTGTACGTTATGTATGGGTAATGGTCATTTTCTTTTGATTAGAAACGTTAAAAGATTGTAAATTATCGTTTCCCCTTAAAGCTTTTTTTTTTTAATCATCTGCGACTAAGAAAAATGATAATGATTTTATTGTAAATCAGATTAATTTATAATACCGATAGAGGAGCTTCGTAAACACGAATTTGTTGCTATTTTGGGCTACGCTAAGCTGCTGGAATGTAAAACTGAGTTCGCCGAACAATACGTACATATGTATGTATGTATATATGTACATATATATATCATCGTAAATGTCTGTTCGTAAATTTAGCTTGTGTACATATTTTGCACTGACAAAAGAGTTTAATTATTTTGTTGACAAAAGTTAACTTTTGCGCCTTGTTTTGTTGACGCTACGCATTTTGCTATAGTGCTGTGGAATGCTGAATTTAGAGACTTCGGATGTAGACGAGTATATGTACATACATACTTAGATAAGCGAGACTGAAGGTGCTTGGGATAATAAACAAACACGCGCCAAATCCAAATGTCAACAGAGTTGGCCCCCAGAGCGAGACACACGCCCCCTCCCTCCCGCCAGCGCAATTGTTGCACACCCAACAGTTTTTGCCAATTTGGGAAATTTTTACATTCCATACATTCCGCAGCAAAAAAAAAGATATAAATATACCCAATAACTAATTAACAATACAAATAAGCCAAGGCAGAATACAGACACACACACACACACGCATAAACAATTGTGCTCATATGTGTGTGTGTCTGTGAGTGAGAGAGAGAGAGGGATTTTTGATGCGTTATTAAGCGGCTCGTTGAATGCGACGCTATTGGAATTTTTAATTGTTTAATTGCGGCCAAATTTTTGCTTGCTTGACTTGAAAGACAATATACCGCATTTTCGACATTTTTATGAGCTATTATGAGCTTTAGACAATCATAGGTAATACAAAAATCACATCAGAGAAATGCCTGAAGCACGGACAGTTCGTTGTGAAAAGAGAGCAGAAGATAGCTCTGTCAGGTAGTTTGTCACAAATGTTTACAGCGCTGCTGTTGATTACATGGCCTCTGTTAAGTTGTATGTTAATGGCGCTTGTAAGAGCCTATTTTTAGTTAGTTTCTCTATTGCTCAAACGACACTAAAAATCATCGTAAAATGCGTGAGACTGTGCGACTGTCCGCGTGTGTGCATGTGTGTGTATGTATGGATGGGTGTGTGGGGGAGTCGCGTGCGCTTGTAAAAAGCATAAGAAATTGGCCATCAAAATGCAAGGCAAGTGCAAAAGCAAATAAAATACATAACAGAAATGCCACTCGCAGGCCAAAGAGACTAGCGCAGAGAGTTCGAGTGTGAGAGCAAGCTGTAGGGAACCACCACACTCTCTCACACACACAAACACACATGCAGAGGTGATCTCGCTCGCTCGTCCGCCTCACTGGGCAGAAGATAAAAATAGTATTAGTTGCTGATTATTATTGCAAAAATGCGCATTCCTCGGCGACTTATCCCCACAAGGCGGCTGCTGCTGCTGCCGCTGCTGCTCCACTCTACGCGCGCTCCGTGTTTTCGTTTCGTTTTCCCTTTTTTCATGACCACATACACATACACACACATACTAGCACACAAACATACATATGTACGTGTGCAGTTGCAGCAGGCATGTTTCAAAATGTGTGGAAAAAGAGAAGAAAAGAAGAAAAAAAATTGAAGCAAGAAGCAAGAAAAACGAGCTAAATTGCATTTTCGTCGTCGTCGTCGTCGTCGACGTTGTCGCTCGCCGATTGCAACTTGCAGCAGCCAGCGACGACGACGACGCAAACAGTGGCGTGCTTCTAGGGGGGGCCCCCTCTCTAACTCTCTATGCGCTGCCTGCCATCAATGGCCAAACGCCCACCCAGCGCCGCGCGATGCCCCCTTCACCCCAACACGACACAAACTAGCCGCAGCCGCAGCAGCAGCAGACTGGCCCCGGCTTGACTTGGCCTGGCCAGGCCTGGTCACTTTTTATCGTTCATTTACTTTTAAAAAGCAGCAGCAGAAACAACAACAACAGATCACTGTATTTATTGCCCTGCTCATGCCTGGACTTTGTGTAAGTGTGTGTGCGTGTGTTTTTGGAATGCACACGATCACATAGACAACGCCTCACCTGTTTAGTCGCTGCCTGCAGGCGGAGCAGCCCACAAAAGCAGCAGCAGCAACAACAGCAACACACACACATACACACATTCACACACACACTAATCCACTACGAATTGCATGCTGGAATGTGAATGGAATCTCAACAATTTTCAGCGTCGCTGACGTTGACGCCGCCGTCGTCGTTTGGCGCAACTTTTTGCACGTCAAGCCGAAAAAATTAAATAAAAATAAATCACGTAAAAAACAACAACATACAATTGCAACATTAACATTTGTGTGATGTACACACAAATTCAAATGCACACATGCAAATACATACGCTTATGTATGTCACATTGTTAACAGAGCCCAAACATAAATAAGCTGCTTGAGAAATTATTGTCGCACTGACATTGAGGCGAATTTCTCAGCAACAGCAACAGCAGCAGCGGCAGAGGCAGCGCAGCAGCTGCGTCGTCGCTGATGCCTCTAATTACAAGCGCACCCGCAGTTGTTACTCTTCTTCTTCTTCTTGTTGTTGTTGTTCTTGTTGTTGCTGTTGTCTTGCAGTTACTTGTGCCACATTTTGCATCTCTCATATTTACATTTACATTGCAAATACGCTGTTTTTTCTCTCTTTATGTTCACAACCATAGGGGTATTCCCTAAAGTCGCACAATTTATTTTGCCACGCATAATCACATACGTTAGCACTTGAAATGAATCTCCAATAAATATGAATTGTTCAGGCATTTACAGTGGGACGAAAATTGGAACTGTGCAAAAAATTAGACACCTTTAATATATCAATTTATTGATTGAAATTCTATTTTTATAGTTTTTTAAATCGCTCAATAGAAATAGTCAAATTAACAACAATTTTCTGTTATGAAAGTACATTTGAGAAATATAAATTTACCAATTTAAACCAAATCCTACACCTTTGCGAATGGTCACGTTATTTATTTTAAACGTTATGTGCAACGATTACTCCCTACTTTTGATAATTTTTATTTGCTCTAAAAGATAAGAGTGCAACAATTTCTGTTGACATTTTTGTATTCAAATTGTTTTTCTTTACTTTACTTAGATCACATTTCAGGTTCCCTGTATAAACAGATTCACCTGCCGTATAAATGCGCTACTAAATGATACACTCAGGTATATATTGGATGACAACAAACTGATTGTTTTGCCAGCTTGTTGTCACTGTTTATAAAGAAACCCAACATAGCGAATGAACAGTTGTTTAATAGCTCCTTATTTCCCATTGTAGTAAAGGCAATTGTCTATATGGGTTCTTTTAAGCTACCAGAAGTATCAAAACAGTTTTTATATACCAGAGCTTAGCTAAATTGACTCAAATTGTCTATCAAAATATTATTATTCGTTCTAGCTGTAGCTGTTTTCGATAATACTTTGAATACGTGTATAAAATATGTTAACATATAAAAGATAAAATACCATTTTATACATATTTCAGGTTCAATCTGTTATCGATAAAATGTTGTAAGGAATAAGTAACATCTGCTCCTGATATCGATAACATTTTAGGTACATAACACTTGAAGGGAGTATCCCAAATATTCAAGGCAGCTGCCATGATAAGAAGCTTTTGTTTTTGCTATGATTATTGTTCTTTCTCTTGCAACCAATTGTTTGCGTTTGATTTTTCATTTTCTAACTGTTGCTACTGCTGCGGCTATTGCTAGTTGTTGCACTTGTTTTACGCCTACCAAATGATGAGTTTTGACACCTGAATTATTACGGCAATTAGCCGCAGATGGCATTTGAGAGTGAGTAAAGGACAACGGGGAGAGACGCATAATTATGCACACATGCAAACACACACACACACGCACGCACACACAAAACAAATGCAACAGAATGAAAAAGGGATGGAGGAAGGGCGTGCAGCTAGAGCGGAGCAGTTGCAGCTGAAGAATTTAATCCGATTTGTAGTAAAGTAACGAGCGCGCAGATGTTGCGAGCAACGACATCGAAACGCGTAGGGGAGGGGAGGGCCATAGAGTTAGGAAAAGCAACACACGCACACAACCACATACACACAACTACACTCGCACACACACACACACGCGCACTCACGAACTGCGCGTAGTGAGAAGAAAAATATGTAAATAGATGAACCGTTGCATGCATTTGGCATTTTATTTTGGATTTTCCACAAAGCTACAAAATGCACTCACACACTTGCGTTTTCTTTGTAGATTTTCTTGAATATATATATATGCACATATATATATATATATTTTTTTTTTAGAAAGAGAAACAGAGCCAACCAGCACAATTGGAAATACATACATACACGAGACACATATACACACACACGCACGCACGAACTGAGAAGTACTGAATTTTCGATCGAAAAGCACACGTCTCGCGCACTATTTTCACATCATATCGTTGCGTTCTTCTTGAAATTTACCTTCACGCGCTGCGTTTTTGCACTTTTCACAAATTTTCCTCCACCTCCACGCGCTGCGTTGTTTTAATTAATAATAATAGATGGACGATAGATTGTGGTGGTTGAGCGATAGACTGTGCACAGAATGTGGTGGTTAGACGATAGCTAAAATTACAGGCTTGCAGAGGGTTTAGTTATCAAAAAATTATTAAAAGTTGGCAGCGCTGAATCTTTGTACACAACTAAAAGCTGAGTACTTCGAAACACATTTTATGTTGGCGGGAAGCAAAATGATTGAAAATGAAAGCAAATGATTGCAACAACTTTATAAGTAAATGAGAAATATATAGCGCTCTATATATGCGGTTAATTTCAACATATATGTATTCTATTGGTATTTTAATTATAATTTTCGTAAATCTTAAGAAATTATTTGTAGCCTTATCAATCGATGAGTCTTGGTCACACAGTCTGAGCAATAATCCTATTTATGCGCATTTTTGCATTTTGAAAGGGAAAATGATTTAAATGCAGTTCATTATTGCAAACAAGATAATGTATGTTTTGTTAATATATTTCTATTTATCAGTACTTAAATACCAGTCATACTTTGTTTGTTACAGCACTGGTACTATTATTCAATTTGTAGTATTTTTTGTTCAAAATGAGTATTTTGGAGCTGCATTAAAACGGTCATACTGGTCACACTGCACGCAGTTCTCTGCGCGCACTTTAGTTGAGCGGCTGTTTGTGCGGTACACTAAGTTCCTTTCGCGGTCAATTGGCATTGTTTTCGTGTATTGTCGCTATCTCAATGCTTGTTTTAATAAACAAAAAGTGTTAGCCAGTTTGAATTGCTTGTAAACGGGTTGAGCTATTTATTAATTTGTGAAAATTGGTAATCGTTAGTGTTTGGCCAGCGTCGGCATCTACATATCTGCATATGCGTATGCGTGTGTGCGTGTGTTTTTAGGTGTGAGATGGCGAAAATCAATAACAAAGCAAAGTAAATAAAACGCAGGCGAAAAGTGCATACGAAAGTGGCTGCGGCAATGCAAAGAAGAAGAAGAATAGCGGCCGTAGTGTAAACGTTCTGTTGAGTGAGACAGCGAGCAGCTTTAGGCCAGGCCCAGGAGTTGTAGTTGTAGTTGTTGTTTTTGTTGCAACAACAAATAAATACATACATACAAGTGGCGACGTGACGTGAATTTGTAAAGTGCGCCGTTATAAACGTTTTTGTTGTTGCTGCTGCTGCGTCTGCCTTTGCATTTAGTGCGCGGCTCTTGAAAACTTTGCCGCCGCTGTTGTTTTATACTATATATTTTTTTGTTATGTATATACATATATTTTAATTAATTCCCATTCTGATTCTTTAGCTGCGAATAGGGTCAAAATAAAACACGCAAAAAACGTTTTAATTCCGAGTATTTCTTCAAAAAAAAAAAGAAAACAAAAAAACAATTTATAAGCGTGTCTGTCTGTGCCCCTCGTGCATGTGTGTGTGTAAACAGAACAACGCGCGTGATTCATACCTTTATACACCGGGGGCGGCACAGGAAAAGTCGTCGACAGCGCGTGTTGTTGTTGGCCAGAAAGACACGGACACGCAGCCGTCCATTGAACTGCTGCCGCTGACGACGACGACGACGACGACGACAACCATTGCTGCTGCTGCTGCGACGCGACTGCGACGCAATTGCTTCCTGGCAAAACGACAACAACGGCAACAACATGGACAAAAGTGAGTATGCTGAACACAAAGAAGAAGCAGAACAGCGAACACGAAAAACAAAACTATGAAATTCGTGCCTTGCTGCACTTTTGTTGTTGTTGCTGCTGCTTCTTCTGCTGCTGCTGCTGGCTACGTTTTTTAGGGTGGGTCCATCTTTCCCGTTTATCTATGTCTTTGCGCTCCGCGTTTTGCGCTCACATTCGCATTGTTGGGTGTGTCTCAGGGTGGGCGTTCAAGAGTTGTATTTTTTGTTGCTGTTGTTGCACAAGGACATTAAGACAACAAGTTTGTGCTTGTTGTTGTTTTTGTTGTTGCTGCTGCAACTAAATATTGCGGTACTTAAAGCAAATGTTAATGTTCGCAATGCAAAGCTTTAGATTTTCGCAAGGGCTTTAGCTCAAGCCAAATAAGCAAAATAAAATGTTCTGAGACCGGTTTTACAGTTGTTTTTTTTTGTATTTTTTTTTTTAATTTTTTTTGTTAAATAGGAATTTGTTGTTGATGATTTCATGCGGCAAAGAGTTAAGAGCGTTATTTTTTTGCTTTTTATTTTGGCTGCGAACGTGCGGGATTTGCTGGGAAATATAATTTGAATTGTTAAGACAAAAGATTTACATTTGTAGAACAGTAATAGAAATAGAAGCAGGTAAAAAAGTGTGTTGCATAATTGCCAAAGTCATGTAGAGTTGGTAAGTTTCACAAACATATATGTACACATATTTAGGAGAACTTGAGAGCGTTGAGCCAGAAATTATGCGTAAAGGTAAAGTAAAAACTACCAGAACATTTCCCATGAACGTCCGAAAATGTTGGTGAATCATACAAAATGTTTTATAATGTGAGTATCGCAGAGTTTGGGAGGTTTTATTAGTCTTATATGCGCATAGACACATATACATAGATATAATATAATAGTATATAACATAAAAGATGCATAGTCTAGAACCCACTAATCGGGATTTATTAGATCGTGATCTTTTTTATTTGAATATGTATGAAAAAAGTGCGAATTGAGGAACAAGTTCGAGTTTGTCAAATTAGAGAAAATAAACTGACCAATAAGCTTTTTATTTTATTTCTTTAAACTTTTATCTTACTTATCTAATATTCGAGGAAACATTTTTAAAAAAACTAAGAAAAGTATTAGGCACATTTCTGCTCATACTCTCGGGTACTATCAAAGTTGCCAGCATTCTTCTTAAACCCGCAATTCCTAGCCTCCGATAAAGAAGTAAACAGGAAGAGTCTCAGCAAACGGTTATTGACTATAACTATAAGTATGCACAGTGTTATGGCTCCACTGATAAGGCGAGACTAAATGCCGTCGAGCGTGCAATACTAATAAGTCATGGGTTTGCTTTCTTTGTCAACCTCAAGATTGCTCGAGTGTTTGTTGTTGTTGTTGTTGTTGCTGATGTTGCTGATAATGTAACATATTGGTTGCATATATTCATTTCAGTCCCGCATCTCACTCCCCTGCCGCTCCCTCAGCTGTGTATCTTTATTCTCCTCCGCTGATGATTTCTTTTGATGAGCAATTTGAGGCACACAATGGAGCTCGTCGAATGGTTTTGTCTGGGTCGCATTTGCATCCCGAACAAAAGACGCCGCAGCTTTCTTCCGTTTGTGGCGCTGTTGCTGCTGTTGTTGTTGTTGCTTTTTAAGTGATTCCATTTGAAAACCAAAAGTGAAAAATCTTCAAAATACAAAAGCTAAACAGCAGCAAGCCATAAATGCGCTGATGACCAACAGGAAATGCCCGAACACACACAATAGTTGTTGCTTTTTTTTGGGTAACTTAATGCCCCATACCCATGGAAAATGAACAAATTGACAAACGTATATTGCAATTTATAAAATGTTCGCAACTGACAGTTGATTCCAGACCCCAACGTATATAGTAGATATATTCTTGATCAGTATTACAAGTCGAGTTCATCTAACCACGTACTCAGAGACATTCAGAACTAGAGGAACAATAAATTTTCGATAACGTCAAGCCATTTCTCCGAATTCACTAAATATATCGATTTTTGATTACTGGTGGATAAGAACTAGAGGCACAAAACAGGTCCTATAAATTGTCTTCTTCCATTACTCCGAATTCGATTAATATCGTTTTTTGATTTCTGGAGCATTAGAACTGAATGCGCCAATTGAGACATGTAAATTGTTATATACCTCTCAGAAAGTTTAAATTAAGTTATCGATAACTCCAACACATTTCTCTGAATTCGATTAATATCGATATTTGAAAATGATCAGATAAATTTTCGTATACTTCTTGCAAAGTTCAAATTAAATTGTCAAGAACTCCGAAATTTTCCGAATTCGATTAAAATCGATCTTTGATTTCTGGTACATATTTCGGAGATTATATTTATAACTATATAACAAAAGGCAGCAGAGTTTTTGTCTAGTTTTTTGTTAAGCATAAGCAGATCACATTTATTTTATTCGGTAATTTTAAGAGAGTTTTTAAGCTACCAAATATTTCGGAGATTTTAAGAGCTTAAGGTAACAAGTTATGCATTCCGATTCATATTCAGTATAAACAGATCAACAATATTTAACTTTTTGCGTACCCTACCAGACCCTCTAATTTTCCGTGGCAGAGCCCTACTTTTTGGTATATACGCACATTTGTGTGCAATTTTGTAAATCTGAAAGTTTCAAGACGTTTAGACAACATACACAAAAGTAATTCAAGAATGAATATAACTTTGTGTGGTAAAGAAGAAGAAAATCTGTGTGGCTATAGGTACAGGGTAACTGCTAGTCGAGCAGCCCGACTGTAGCGCATTTGTTTCGTTTCTTTGAGGTAATCATTTCGTGCAATCTTTATTTTAATACGAGTCTCTTATCAGCTGCGCCAATTGGCATTTGATAAATTGCTTGTGGCAAGCCCTGCGCATTGTGGGCGTGGCAATTGCTTTTCTCTTCATTTCCCTCTGCTCTGCGTGGGTCGTTAACCACTGCCAATGGCTTAAGCCATGGCCAAGCCCAAGAGCTGGCTTCCTTTCATTTGCCTACGACTTCTTGACTGACTCGGCCAAGAGTATTCACATTCACATTCACATTCGCAGTCGAGCGAATGAATCATCAGATCCACGTTGGGTTTTGTCACGGCAAATGCGAAAACTGCGCATTGCTTGAAAATTATGCGATTTTATTACCCCTGCCCGGGCCCAAATGAACAATCAGCCGCATGCAAATGCCTGTGAATGCATTCAATTTGCACCCGGCTTCGGACATTTGAGTCAGCTCATGAATCTTTGAATTACTCACCGTGGAACTAGTTGAAATGTGCCGGCATTCAGTTTGCTCTGCGCTCGCTTATCTTATCGCCACTTTTGGCTACTCAACTTATCAGAGCGTACAGTTTTTTTTCTGCTTCTTTCTCTTTTTTTTTTTAACACATTTATATGGAAACATATCGAGTTTGGATGCGTTAAATACAAAACTTTTGTTGCTCAAGTTTCGACTGACACTGAAAAAAAACGAGTAAAATTCCTCTTGGAACGACTGGCAGATACCCTGAAAACAGCGCCAAGCTGCATTTGCAAATATTCTATTTTCCTTCTATACATAAAAACAGAAATACACACACATATGCACACAAGCGCACATCACAAAAGGGAGTGCTTCTTCTGCCCTTTGCATCACAATTTATTTGTATAATTTCGGTGTTTATTGTCCGATCTTTATGAAATTTTCAGCGCATGAAAATAGCATACAAAAGTGTGTATATACCCAGGCGGGAGGCTCTACAGACGAACGTTGATCTGATCAAGAATATGTATACTTAATGGGCTCGGAGATACTTCCTTTTGCCTTTGTTTCTACACAAGAGCAGCCAGTTTTGAGTATGCGTAAGATACATCCTTCAATACTCATGTATATAGACACGAACATAGAGCAGCTACTGTGCTTCTTCTCGCCTCAGCCTCATATCGTAGAAAATTCATTATGATAAAATGTCGATTGATTAAATATGACACCAGAAGGTTTGTATACACTAAAGAGTGGGAATATCTTTGGAATAGTAAGTCAATCAATGCAAATAAAAGAGAAGCAAAAAAGGAAAAGAGAAAGGCAACAACTTATTCTAAGCCTGCAGTCTGGAATTTTTAGCTTATATAGTCTGATGTGGTCCTGATTAAGAGAGCAAGTACCTTGTGTCTCCTGCTGCCTGTAACATAGATGTGCATAAAACCAATATACCCTCTTCAGCCCAAATTCAATGTGTAAAGGGTATACAAAATGAAAAACTATGCCAAGTTTAGTAAATGTTTGCGCTGCTTAGGCAAACATACATCATGTAAGCATATATGTGTGTATGTGTGTATATATCTATGTGTGTGCATATAAATGTATGTATGCATATATAATAAAAATGCTGCCTGCTTGATTGGGCCTCAGTTTCTCAGCCGCACGTTTTATGCTCTTTATCAGCCGATTGAGTTTAGGCATCATTAACTCTGGCCGCAAACAGCAAGAAATGCGGGCAAGCGTCTGCCAAGCCATATAAATACAATCCACACACACACAGGCACATATATATACACACCGCATATCATTGAACTGATAAGCGGCAACTGAACTCAAGGCCTCGTCTTCGTCTTCGTCGCGCCCTCACGCTCCCCTCAATGGTCGACTCGACTGTCGCAATTGAAACTCAATAAGTGAAAAGTAACTGTTCTTTATACAATTTCAATTCCCAGAATTTTCCAGTGTTTCCCAAACAAATTCAATTGGCAAGAGTTGAGTCAAGCGGCATTTTGGTTACTCAATTATTGACAGATGGATTGAAGCACTCGAGTGTTCCACTTTTCTCATTACATGTCTGGCAATAGAGAACGAATAGAGAGAATTTGAAAAAGATAAAAAATGTTCTCTGCCTCTCTCGCTTTAGCCTCTTTTCCTTTAAGAGTCATACATTTGAGATTATTTCAATAGTTAAAAAATGTTTTGCAATTATAAATTAAACAAAATACATAAAATACATT